CCGGAGTTGCGTTCAATTTAAATCTCCGAACTTCTGAAGCTGAGATATTCTAGAATGTAGGCTTGTATTGTAGGCTACAATTTAAAAACGGGTGACCAAATAATGAATTAGGTGCTAAATTTTGATTTAAAACTGGGTAAGTTAAAAACAGACATTCCGTCCGTGTGGGACTCATTCAAAAATTCTAGGGGGTTCGCTAGAAAACAGGAGGGTTCGCTAGAAAAGGGGGGTTCGCCCGAACCATAAAAACCCCCCTTGGCTACGGGCCTGAGAAGGTTCTTTCAAACAAGAACGCAGCAGTAGCTCTGGCAATAGACACCTCCGCTGGCCTATGGTACCTACCACACTTTGGGGTATATCATCCACATAAGCCGGGGATAATAAGAGTCGTGTTTGACCCAAGTGCCGAATTCAAGGGAACATCCCTAACAAGGTTCTCATTCACGTCTACCTTTTTTATGGTTTCAGAACAACAACCAAGATGCCAATATAGTAAAACATCAGATGTCTTTGTATTAGCCTACCAAAGCGGCTGGATAACTGAGCACACATTAATGCTGTCCATGTGTTCTGGCAGCCACGTTGACAAGGTATCCTGTGTGGACTTGTAACTCTGTGTGTTTTAGTACTAAATACAACTTGGTGTCAAAAGAAAGAGAGAATAGTACAACCAGCAATGGCGACGTTTGGTCTACGACTAACTGTGGAAGTTGAAAAAGATCAAAGTCACTACCTACTTATTCGAGGTTGCAAAAAATCGCATCCAAAGTATGAAAGTTATGAAAGCCTTTCCCACCAACGACCACGCTAGCGATCTCAAATATTTAGATCTCAACATTGACAATCCACGTCTATTGGGACTTGAAGGCTGACTTCTTCACTTTATCAATCTCAGCGGACGAGAAACCATTCACAGAACGAGGCGTTTTATCCAAGATTAACGGTCTATCTGACCCCATAGTCTTCGCTGCTCCGGTAGTTGTTTGAGATAAAACGATGCCAATAAATGTGTACATGGTAGGATGTTGTGGCGTTGATGTACTAGTTTTGTGCGCTAAACAAGTACTGTAGCGCACGACTAGGTATACTCCCCGAGGAGTACAGACGGTTGCACTATGTGCTGGCTTGCCATTGTATGTTACCCAGTGACCAGAGTAATAACGCTCAGCGCCTTTGATCACTATATAAATATTTGGTAATATTATTATTAGAGAGATCACATTTTCGGAACTAATTAACTCAACATAGCTAACCTGCCAAAGTTTTCTTTGGAAACTGACAACTGAAAATGTAGATTCTACCACCATATTATGGCTTGAGTTTATGTTAAATTAACATTACTTTATTTCTGATTTGGCCTTCCATACTTGAAACAAGTTACTGTTTGTGAAGAAACGGCAGTCATCAATGAATTTGTCTTCAATTTTAAGTAATTTCAGGCGTATCTGAAAATGATGTATGTTGATACATTTATCAGTTGGTTTATTAATTATTTTATTGACTATGTTAAGAAGCATAATACATGACTGCTTATACATTTATCGTAAAATTAGTAGTTAATTGAGGATCATCAGCTTGTCTCATCCAGGCCTAGGTTAGCTTACCACAGAGAAATGCGGAAACTTTGAAAGATTTATGAATTCGACGGTGTTACAAGTCGGCAGAAATGAGTAAAGTTGTTCACCATGAACTTCATAACTTTGGTGATGCATCGTCCATAAGTTAAGGACCTGCTTCATATCATTACCAGAAAGGTGAAATGGTAGGATGCACATTTGTTGCAGCCAAGTCTTGACTTGCACCAATCAAAGCACACACAATACCAAGGCTAGAATTACAAGCAACACTTTTTAAAGCTCATCTAGAATGATACAATGGTCAAACGAGAATTTGGAACTACAAATTGACCAATGCGTGCTCAGGTATCTACTGTACAAAATGAGAACAGTCGTTTCAAACCTATGTAGGCAACAGAGTGTCTGCAATATTAAGCCGAATGAGTATTGACCAGTGGAAGTTTGTAAACTTAGCCAAGAACCTTGCTGATCGAGCATCTCGAGGAATGACAGCAGGAAAGATATCAAGTGAAATGTGGCCCCACATTTCTGAAGGAAGATAAGTCGAAATGGCCACAATGCCTGATGATCCAGAAGAACATAAACTGAAAGGTCCACTGATTAATCTCAGATAAGATAGTATAGTACATACTCCAATTATCGAAATGCCCGCAAAAGATGACATAATTAATGTTGAAATATTGAATCCCGACACGATGCATTAAAATGCATGCCATCGTGTCAGGATTTAATATTAATACTTGGAGTATGTATTATACTACCTTATCAGAAGAACATAATATTGAAACCAATGCTAATCATTTCAACACATTAATGATGTGATACTCCAGTTGGATGTTATCGACCAAGGTGATTTTAAGATATAAAACTAATCTGAGGGAACGTGTCTTCGATGGTAAAACGCCACATGTGAAAGGGAAGAAAAACCCTAACAGTATTCAACCCATAGGCATAACTGTTCATGAATTAAAGAATGCAGAGAAAACTGTGCTGATGTATGTTCAGCCATCCTGCTTTATAGATAAGCAGTGCATTGAAACTAACAAGTTCACTGGTGAAGTTAGATCCAACTTTAGTAGATGGCAAATGAAAATTGGTGGAAGGTTGAAGCGTTCAAATCTTGACAATAAAGCAATACACCAAATCATCTTACCAAAGACACATATTTGATAATGTTACTTGATTATTAGTTAAATTTGATAGCGATATCGTGTAGATATCAGACAGTTAGTGTGTTGGTGGCATCCTCGATCTCTCGCTGAACTTGCGGTTCAGAAGCAACAAGTTTGCAATCACTGTTTAAAATGCTTAATTGTTTAATATTGTTAAACTTCCTGAACCTTAATTATGCTTTAAGACCCTTATGGATTCATCTGTTTTTACCGCTAGTATGGCAATGACGGTGTGGGAATAAACATTACACTAAAAGTTAGGCACTTGCATACATTTAAACTGCTAGGCACATTGCATGATCAATCCCATAAAATGTTAGGTACTGTATTTGATATTTGGCATATATTTGACTAACCACATTTTCGGACTGTTTTGGAAGACCACATGTATTGTTCATAGGATGTAAGCCATCCCCACCCAAATTTAATGCAATTCCGTATTTTTAAAATATTTAACGAAGTACTTATTGCAGTATGCATGTATTGATGTCGTAGGACCACAGCAATTAATGGCCAACATAAGTTAGAATGGAAAAATACTTTACTTTTGTTTGATATACTTTTTATGATAACTGCTCAATTGGGACACGTAATAATAATAATTGTCTTCAGGACAAGCAAATTTTTCAAAGGTACATGTCCTGGAACAAGTGAAAAAAATATGGAATTCCCACATGCCTGACACCACTATGTCCTTTCTTTGCAACATTGTCATCTTCATAATTATGATAGAAGTAATAAACTGAGTGGCATTAAATAATTAAACTGTGTCCAATGGAAGAGAACAGTAGATTTCTACTGAACATTTGCCTAGTACTGTATAATTAAGTTAAATTTTTTTTAAATGACTAATTACCATTGTTAACTTTCAATCATTTACGTATCACATATAAATATACGTAGTATTATCTGTATTCTTATATTATTACTGGCCCAAATTTATTACTATACTATAATTATACTAGTATTGAGTACAGAACTCATGTTCTGGCCTGGTTGCAGCAAAAAGGTTTGAAGTTGTCACCAATTTTAACAGCAGTCTTGTACAAACTTACAGACTCCATGTTCACTAGAATGGCTACTGCCACCCCAGTTGGAAGTGATTTTCGGAAGACATGGTTGCATTCTTTCCCCTCTACATCATCGCTACAAACTGATGGAATTACCACTAACACACTGCTACCACCTACAGCGCCTCCAGTGTGCGACAAAACATTTTTACTTAGTCTACATGATCCATACTGCTGGTGATAATCAACTACACACCAACCCATACCATAAGAGCCTTCACTGTCCCAAGTACATTTTGTATTGTCCACTTGTGTCCATACATTTGTAATAGTCTCTGGTTTGAGGTATCCTGGTAGTACACAATTAGCTGAAACAATGAGAATAAAAGACATTTGTAAAATCAAATGTTCAGGAAATAACATTTTGTGACCAAACAATAAACCTTACACAAAATCACCAAAATCATTTTTTTTTTAATGAAAATAATAGATACTCAAATTGTGAATAGTGTATTAGCAACAAAACAAAAATATGGCACCAAAGGTATACTGTTACTGTAACTGTTGTAGTAGCCGCCTTTGGAAGACAAATGGCTGTCATTGATGGGATTTTATTTTATATACAGAGCAAAAAACAATATCATATGATTAGTGTTTATTTATAGTGTTTGTGTTAGTTTTATTACCATTTTTAGTTTTTTTTTTGTTTTTTTTTTTCAAATGCACTTACCTTGATGATTTGCATTATATTGGTAACTATACAGCATTGCATTTCCAAATTTGACCAGATCTGGGGCATTCGAAATAAACCCCCCTCCTGCCCACTTGCAAGAATTGTCAACATACGGGGAATTCTCTAAACGACCACGATCATTCAAGGAATACTGTCTAGAAATAATTGAAGGAAAAAAAGATAAATAATTTGTAATGCAGGCTTGAAAAGTAGTATTTCAAAACATCATTTGAAAGATAAACACAATTCCGTGGACCTCAATGGAAACAGCTTTTGTGGCTTTCTTGAGTTATCCTTAGAATTTCACTATCATTGTGTATATTTTTGAATTTTAATGTTCTTTTACTTATGTGATTTGAGATTTTCCAAAATAAATTCATTCTTGGGAGCAATATTATCATATCCATATATAGGCACATAGCACATTAGGTTACATAGCATTTTGATAGTGTGGACAGGGCATAAAGCCCTGTCCACACTATCAAATTTTATTTGACAAAAACATGTCACGTGCCTAAATATGGTCCTGATGACATCACATCATGACTATATATGGACATACAACAGAATGTTGGAATATTGGAACCTTGGCTGTGCTAATGCCACGACCTTGGGCAATGCACTTCATCTACGTTTTCTCTCTCTCTTTCCACCTAGGAGTATAGATGGCATATGAGTACTAGGAAATACTCATTCATAAGCTATGTTATGCGAGCTGATATGGTGGGTACGTCCTGCATAGTCTGTTCCATAGATAAGCACAATTCAATTTAGAACTCCAGTTTTTATTTATACCATTTAAATATTATTACTATTCAAATGACTATTATCATTATTACTATTTTTCATTTAAAGTGAAATGTTCTTTACCTTGCTCTATGGTATATAAGTGTTTTGTGATACTCGGGCTGAGTTGATTCTAGGCCTAAATCGGAAAATATGGAAGACATATATTTGATAAACTCCTTCCCTGAAGCCGCCTCAACCACTGCACTGATTAATGTCCAACCGTGAGTAGTGTAGTAAAATTCAGTACCTAAGAAAGTTAAGAATAAAAGAGGGAGTAATGATACACAAATGAACAGCATAGATAAAGCACAGATTATTGTACAGAAATTATTTCAAGCCTGTTTGATCATGAAACTGAAACCTTAAATTAGTTATCTATTTTTGTTGTAATCATATGTAACAAAAAATTGAGCTGATTTTTGGGGGTAGTCTCATACCTGGGGTATCACCGGTTCAAACAAAAGAAACAATTTTTTCAGCATTGCCTTATTCAATGCAAATATATATTTTTTTTAATTTCTTTTATTTATTTGGTATAAAAACAATCTCACAAGCTACAAAAACAATGCAATGCAAACATACATAAGATACTAACTACAAGACATGAAAAAATTTACATAAACAAACATTCAGATTTAATCGAAAAAGAGATACCCGTATTAAATTGAGAGCAAAAGAAACGGAAACAAATATGACGACACAAAAAAATCACTGTAAATTACTACAGTAATTTGTAATTATTTGTAATTGTAAAATTCAGCTAAGTAATACTCATTGAAATCATACCCTGGGCTTTTGTCTGAGAAAAGGCTGACCGTAGATAAAATTGGGTGTAAATAGGGCATGGGCTTATACCCGAGCTTCACCTCAAGTAGGCCTACATAAAATTCAGAGGCCTACCTGGTTTTTTAATCAAAGGATCATTCTTAAACAATTCCAATGCCTTGGTAATGGTTGGACAGCCACTTTTGTTTAAAAATTCCTTGTAAACAGAATCACCAGTTGGTTTCACTTTCGTTTGCTTTCCTTTTATATTATTTTTGTCCTTTTTCTCATTTTTATCTGCTTCTTCCTTTTGTTTCTCCTTCTTTGAACCACCGTCCTGAGCTTCTGTCATGTATTTCTTGTTATAGTGTCGGATTCCTCCCAGATGGGAAACAAGTTGTCTAGTTGTTATAGTAACCTGAAAAAAAATCAGTAATAGATTATATAAATGTTAAAATAAAATTGTCCAATGAATTGAATTTAATATGTACACAATACAGTGGTGCCGAGGGAAGGACTTTCACAGATGGAGAGTCTACACCACCCTGTAGGGGGTGGGGGGCAGCCGGTTAAATCTTCCACTGAAATCTCACCAGTATGGTTGTAATTATTTACGCATACTTTTTAATAGAAATCTTAATTGTGGAACCACGCTTTAAAGATACAAAGAAGTTACGACAAACTCACTTTTTCATCTTTCCACATTTTCTCTGGATACTCTGGGAGATAATGTTGGATGGGTTTGTCGAGATCAAGCTTTCCTTCTTCAACAAGCTTTGCAACTGCTGCCATTGCTAGTGGTTTGCTAATGCTGGCTGTCCGCATCACAGTTTTGGGCGTGCATGGAACCCGATTTTCAACATCCGCATAACCAAAACCTAAAACAAATCAGTAAAATCAAATTGCTATTATACTCTGTGTGAGAAAGAGAACTTGAAGGAAGAGGGGGAACATGAAAATGTTCCACTTTCGATGTAGTTACAATAGATGTTATCAAGAATAATGAAAAAGAAGACCAGGAGGGTAAACACTGTACAAGTCAAAAGCCAGGCACACCCTGCATTCTACCCTTGAATGACAAATCCATCTCCACTCTCTGTGAACGTTGACGATGCGACTCTGTCTGCTGATTATCGGCGGCAGTCTCAGCAATTCATAGTTAAAACAATTCATTGCTCACGGATCGTCGAGTTGCATTCAAAGTGGAATCACACCATCTAATTCTAATTGTCGGTGTACTGTAATATATTACTCTCATGCATAATGGACCTATACTGTCAATTAAACTTAAGGACTGACCGATCAGAACAGCGCCAGGAATATGCGTGGATGTCTAACAAGCATGTGTGTCGCACGAAACCCACGTATTTGTGTATGTTTTAACAAAAACATTGTCGTTTTGTGAGACCTTATAGCAACACTATCCAATGGCAGGGGCTTAGTAGAAAGGTCCATAGAGATTGTACTTTGGAAACCATGGTTCAAATGTTGGTTAGCTGAGACAACATTAAAAGAGAACTAGCAAAATGATTTTTTGTTCTGGAGGGGATTTTTGATATGCCATTAATAATAGAATCAACCTTAAAATCGTTTTTTGGCAATTTTTTATTAAGTTATAGGCCATTATATACGATTTTATCGTGACGTCACTGGCGAAAAAAGTAACAAAAGATCGTGTAAATAGCGCCGCGTAGGGTATCCACCGCGTAGGGTATCCGCCGCGTAGGGTATTTACCGCGTAGGGTATCCGCGTGTACGATCTTTGCGTGCATGCTGAAACCATCTTTTGTAGACAACCGCTGATGCAGTTATATAGGCCTATGACTTGATTATACATCGGCGATTGTCAACAAACAAGTTACAACCATGGTTACAGCATGCACGCAAAGATCGTACGCGGTGGATACCCTACGCGGCGCTATTTACACAATCTTTTGTTACTTTTTTCGCCAGTTACGTCACGGTAAAATCGTATATAATGGCTTATAACTTCATAAAAAAATTGCCAAAAAACGATTTTAAGGTTGATTCTATTATTAATGGCATATAAAAAATCTCCTCTAGAACAAAAAAATCATTTTGTTAGTTCTCTTTTAAACCAGGCCCCTCAAATGCCTGTACAAGCATCTGCCTTTCAGTATGGTACTTGAGAACAAGATAGAACTAACCTTCACTCCATACCGTCTCTCCATCAACGCTGACGCAAACAACAATACCAGGGGAACAGGTTTCAACCTGAAAGCAAGGATTTACTCTAAAACATACACTTGAGAAAACACAATGCTTAAATTATAAAATTAACAAAAATTATATAGTAATAGATAACATATACTATATGAAAGTAAATCAACAATAAATGGGGAAAACAGGGTAATAACCCAGATTCAATAATTTGATTTTTAACGTTTTAACTTTTAGTTTCACATGAATATAAATGTTATATCTGTTTTAACTTTCTCTTCTTTGTTTAAATTTGGTTTTAAAAATAAAGAAATAAGAGGAAGACAGAAACAGAGTTAGAAAGATGACTTGAAAAAATAAAGGAAATATTGGTTTAAAGAAACAGAAAGAGGTGGAAGAGAGAGAAGGGGTATGTTCAACAGTGGACTGAGGAACTCTGAAGTAAAGTGACAATTTAATATACAACAGCAATTAAATGACAGTAAGGTATAAACAAAACTACAAAAAGCAATTATTATGTTGTATAGTTTGTGGCTCTGTAAAGCTCCAATTATTTAATGAGCATCCTAAAGTTGGAATTATGACAATAGACAAAATTATTAATAAATAAATATATAATGACAAGAGGCTTTAAAGTAAATACCTTTATTCTTTTGATTAAATCTTTTGACTTTGTGATGGCTTCATTTAACTCCTGCTGCGACCATGACCTTATGGAGAGCCGATTTTTTAATTTGTTTACCGTCTTTTCTGCTCCAATGCTTTCGTTACAATTCGCACTACGTAAATCAAAAAAATTCTCTCCATTTCGTTTTCTTCTGGTTAAGGTTGTTAGAAGTACTCCACTACCAATCGTTGCCCCAAGCAACCAATGAAATCTTGGAGATTTGAGAAATGATTTTTTCATGGTTGCAGCATTCATACTCTAATTGTCAAAAAACCTAAAAAAAAAAAGACTGGAAAATTGTTTCCACAGTTCCAAAATGTGACATCCAAAGACATACTATTACTAATAATAGGTCCATGATGAGACCATACTGTAATTTCACTGATGATACTTCAAAAAGATAAAATTTGCGTGGAAGACAGCTAAGAAACAAGGAGTGCAGTAACTACCTATACTACATAATACAGTTATATATTACATCAGGTCACAGCCTAATTTTAGGCCAAATCTGGAAATCAGCCATTATTTTCAGAAATGCACGGACGGATTTCTAGGCCTAATTTTTGCACAGAGAATATTATTCCCCGCGCAAAAGGCTTACTTTGCAGTCTGGAATTAGGAGCAATGTGGCAAGTTAAATAAATATAATGGTCAAAATAAATCCGTAATATGAAAAAGTAAAATGAAAATGAGTGTAGCATAGCTACATCAAGAAGATAGGATATAAATTAACTAGGCCCTACACGTAATTATTAATCCAGTCATGATAAAATCATAGAAAATATAAAATAACTTGTCAAAAAATAACGTAACAAACATTCAGCCACTGCCAACTTCATTCTTTTCAGTTTCGGGGCATACACGGTACCAACGCTCGTTTTTAATGTTTCTACGTAAGCTTGTCAGTGTTCTAATATAGACAATGGGTCGTGTCTCATATTATTTGTTACATTTTTATTATTCATTATTTGCACTTGACTCGCATAAATAATTTTGTTCAAAGAACATTTATATATGCAGTTGTACTTCGCAGCACTTCACTTGCAATTTATTTGCAATTTCTAGTTCATTTTAGGCCTAGCTATCACATTCTAGGCCTAGAAGAACCCAGGGCCATACCATAATACCTGCATTTTAGATGGGAGTAAGATCCATTTCAAGGATCCGATCGTCGACAACATAACCAAGCCTAGCCTACAGTTAGTAGAGGTAGGCTAGGCCTAGCCTGAGCAGTAGTAGTAGTACTCTAGGCTAGTGTAGTAAGTAGGGCAGGGGGGGGGGGGCTAGCCTAGATAATTTGAAGAAACCTATCACTTGCCATGCTCCAATTTTGATTAATGGACCTTACACAAATCAAGATTGAAGAACAGGATGATAATGTGGTTGTTTTCAGTGGACAGCTAGCAAAATTAACTAATATTTTAATTTATTGTTGCAGACAGCTGATTGTATGTTGTGGCAGCCAGCATCATCCTCAGAGGACGCCGCCAACATACACAACAATACACAGCAAACAGCAAACACAGCGTATGACATGAAACGGTTGCCTCTTCTTCCACGTACATACTGTGCTACTTTGAGTTCACGATGTACACATGACATGGGTCATATTATGGAAAGATGATTATTTGTCCCGAATTGTAATTTGTATTTTTAATGTATTACTAAAGATAGGTCCCTGCATTTCAACAGTTATGTGGATATTCATTGTACTGTTATTTACTATCAGCTATTGCCCCGGCGTCACTAATTTGGATCGGGTACGTACGTAGATTATCTTCAATCACCTGATTTCACGATGTGCCAATCTGGACGCTCGTACCTCTCGTTTTACCTTCCTATCATGCACGATAATACTTTCTTCCTATTTACTATTTGTATATGAATGAAATACTAATAGTTCCGTGCATTTTAGAATTCTGAGAATATTCATCGTAATTGTTATTTTTTTAAAGAAACATCGTACCGACGACATCTTTTCTACACAATTTAAGTGTATGGAGACTCACAGGGTCTTTGTCTAATTATGAAATTTATATCACCATAAGCTATAAAAATGTGTAAAATATAAGCATGAATCTGTACTTACATCAGTGGCGTATTAAGATGAACTGTCTCTTATACACATCTAGATGTGTATAAGAGACAGTATATATATATATATGTATATGTATATGTATATGTATATCTGGGGCGGATGCAGGGGTTGCGGTCGCAACCCCCTAAATTTTATTAAGAAAAATAATTGTATTATATTGTTGATATGAATTATTGGTAAAGATTTTTAAGGTATGAGTAAAGATTTTTAAGGTATATAATTTCCTGGCACCCAGAACTCCATATTCTCAAAATTTTCGCGCTCAGCCCAAACCATGTCCGGGGCTGAGGTGATGTGGACTCTTCACGGACCCATGGGCGCAGATCACTGGGGAAGGGGAACACGTTGTCCCCCTCTCTTTTCGGGAATCAAGAAGATATCCCTGAAAATTGTTGAAATAAACTGCATAAATGATTCAGGTTTTATCGCGGTAAGAGCGCGGTAGGCCTACAGCCAGAGTACATCTTATTTTATAGCAAGATACCGGTATACTCTGCCCACAAACATCTGAATTACCTATCATACACGATTCGAGTGCGCGTGAATTTATTATAATTTGAGAAGTATGAGAAAAAGCTTGCAAAGATAAAAATTGGTTTTCGGCACATGAATTAGGGAAAGTAAATACATGTTTTATTTTCTATGGTATATCACGGCGATTAATTATATCGGTAATAATGAATTTTACATAGGCCTATAAGAGTGTCATATCCGGCAATCTAGAGTACAATTATTTCCCCAAATTTGACCACCTCAGCCACAACGCTGGTGGGGCTGAGATGCGTGTGGACTCACAAATTCAGTTATTAATCCGAGCAAAAACAATATTAACAAAATTAAAGTTTTAAAAATCAGCAATTACCCAATTAATAATGAGAAATCTATTTGTGACCACTTTAATGATTATTTTTCCTCCATAGGCCCAGATATTAACAAATCTTTACCAGCCTCTGATATTGATCCTTTGCATTTTTTTTTTATTAAACCCGTCACTGAATCTGAAGTATGTACAGTAATTAATGATATTGATACTAATAAAGGTGCTAGGCATCACCACTTATCTCCTAGGACCCTAAAATTTGTATCTCCAATCATCATTAAAAAACTAACATTCGCCATTAACTCATCTTTTTCATTTGGTACAATTCCAAATACTTTAAAAATGGCTAAAGTTATTCCGTATTTAAGAAAGGCGACACTGATACACTATCAAATTATAGACCAATATCCATACTACCTATCTTTTCAAAAATACTAGAAAAACTTATGCATAAAAGACTATTTAACTATTTTAATCAATTTAACATCTTAAATGACCATCAATATGGGTTTCGTCAGAATCACTCAACTTGTGATGCAATATTTGAACTCGTTAATAACATTATTAAATCATTTGAAAATAAACGATTTCAATTAAGTTTATTCTTAGATCTATCAAAAGCTTTTGATGTTTTTAACCACGAAATTTTAATTTCCAAACTTTTCAGATATGGTATCGGAGGTATTGCTTTAAAATGGTTTATACGTTATTTGAAAAATCGTAAACAATTTGTTTCTGTTGGATCATGTAAATCATCGACGAGGGATATAACTTGTGGGGTGCCACAAGGGTCGGTCTTGGGGCCGTTACTTAATATATGTCAACGACTTGAGTAGAATTAGTGACACACTCCAGTTGGTATCCTTCGCCGATGATACAACGTTTTTTTTTATTCAAATGAAGACTTCAATGTTTTGTTCAATACGTTTAATAATGAGTTAAAAAATATTGGTTCCTGGTTCATCTATAGGTACTATTTCTTCAAATTTTCTCACCTCAGCCCCAACCATGTTGGTAAATCGTTATCGAGTGAGGACCTAACTTCCACAAAAAGATAGACATATAAAATGAAATTTTTAAAATTTGGAGACAAAAGTCAGAATTAGTTTGATATACAGTAAAATACTTGTTATGTTAAACTCGCACACTTTGACAATTTGACATTTAAAATACTGAAATATTTTAAATATTCTATAAATTGAAATTTAAAATATATCAACCACTGTTCGGTCAGCTAACACAGATAAATAATGTATTGTTAGCACAATAGGTAATCATTTACAGACTAATAAAGAGGTCCATCTTAGTCACTTCAAATATCGCTGCAGCATACTTAAAGTACTGTTGCCTTGAAACTCTGTGCCTCCCTCAGCTCTACTTTGCTTGGGGATGAGGTAATCATGAGTAAATTAACTGAGAAAGATCCCCAAACGAAACAAACTCGTTTCGAATATTTAAGAATTAAAAAACACAAAAAGAAAACATTCTGACAAATTTTGCTTCATTGTCTATCTTGTCACTATGTATTTCAATTTTATATTTTAATATAATAATGCCTAATACCTTAAGATTAATTATGAACGTAAGTAATGCACCATGAGGTACTGTCCCTTTTTCAGGTTAGTAAGACTAAAACCTCAATACTGTATATGGAAGTCAATTTTTAAAATGTCATGATTATAAAAATTAAATCAATTATAAATTATTTACATTCACAAGGATAAATTTGAAAATAGTGACAGCTGCATCGAATATCAAGATAGGCGCAGGGTTACTCTAACACATTTTAAATAGGCTATTGCATCGATTGTATTGCAGGCATCTATAGAGAGCAGAGTTTAATAAAAAACAATATAGAAAATTATGGTGCTGGTGAATTTGTAGCTATCATTGTGCCTATAAATGAGTTGTTTACATATCTGTCTAATTATAACAATCATTTAACATTATTTAAATAAATTCTGACTTGATTGAATGATTGATTGATTTATATAAAAATGGAATGTTAAGATTCACAAGTTAAATTCGATTTACAATACCTTTAATACCTTTACACTATACATACATTCATAACATGCCAAAACAGAATAGCTCAAGGGTCTAACCCAGTGGAGGTGCCAGCGGAAATTCAGGGGAACACTCCACATCCCCCGCCCCATTGGGGAAGAAGCCAATCAATCATCGAACACTGCTTTGAAAATGCATCTTTACACTCTCTGAGTGCCATTACTGGGCATCTACAGGTGCCCGTTTTTAAAATTTGCTCAAACAATGGAATAACTGGAGTGGAAACTCTCATCGGTGATATTAGACCCCACTGTCAGGAAACTAGGGCCTCTTGTTGGGAAAAATCTGGTGCCGTCCACAGCTCAAAATTGGTCTCGCTGATAGCTTGACTGTATCCTGTAACACTCAAAGCCTAATAATGAAAGACTAGATACTTCTGAACAAATGTTTTTCTGCACTATATCGCCCTTGTCATGCAATGCATCTAAAGGTACAGTAAATGGATATGTATTAATTTGTATTCATGTATTCATTTTTTTTATACATTAACTACAGTATTACAGTTGATCTTGCCTAAGTTGAATCCAAAATGCCATTGAAATATTGTTTGAATTAGATAAAATTTGACTTACAGATTGTTAATTAATGGAAAACCTGGTATCTAATTTTTAGGCAGAAAGCTAACCCTTCAGCCAATTATTAGCTAGTTCACCAACTGTCGCTTTCAATGATAGTAGCATGGTCCAAATGAGGAATGATACAAATGTAATACATAATAAGTATACCAAAGATCAGTAAACCTCAAGAAAGTGCTCTAACATTTCAGTAATAATAAATTGCAAATTTTACATGATATATTTTTCTATATTAAATCATTATATATTTATTTCAGTTTTTGTATGTGTATAAAATATACTGATTATGAAATTCTTGCTCATACAGTACATAGTTAGTAAACATACTGTACATCTGTTAGTATTACGGCGGCATCAATTTGAAAACTGAATGAAACTGACCTGTGTACTAGGGAAGGAGGTGGTCCTACACAAGAATTTTTTGTATATAGATGTCTGGAAATGTGGTTCCATTGGGGCTCCGATCCTGCCCACCCACTCCTTGGTCATGGACCTGAAATAAGCCTGTTAACATGGCTGGGGGAACGGGCCCCCCACTTTTTGGGACAAAATGCATAATGTCTATGCAGATTTTTGTATGATCGGAAAGAAATGCAAGAAAAGAGTGGGGGACCCCCCACTTTGAAAAACGTTCTACCAGCCCTGCTTAAATATTAGTATTTTGAGCTCCTTGATAACAAATATATTTTCACCAAAAAAAAATACCCTAGATTTTCAGGTTTTTGATCCGACAACCTGGGCAAGACAAGTTTTTTTCATCCTTAATTTTCAGCTTTGACTTAGATTTGGATTATTCTGATGGTGTTGGTAAATCCTTGACCTTTGCGCCAACCCGATATGCAGATAACGGTTGAACCATCCGATATAAAGCCACGTTTCTTAGCAACCTGGATTGCATACGTGAAGTGGTCCTCCAGGTCATCCTGCCAATTTTTGTCTCCTTCAGGCTTCGAATAAAAGACTGGAAAACATCCGCGCCACAAGTGGGTCTGCCGCAAAACCTTCTGATCACGACACACAGTCAAAACTGGAGCAACTGGTCGGTAGCGAGAGATGAGATGAGCAGACCTGTCAATCAAATGCAAGATCAATTAATCTCAATGATGATTATGATGGTGATAATACATGATTAGGATGTTGATGGTCATAGTGATCATTAATGATAAGTAATGATAGGGATGATGAATGGTCTTGATGATAGTACTACTGTATGTGATAATGAAAATGATGATGATGATAATGCTTGACGATAATGATGATAAAGATTTGGATTATGAAAATGATAATGCTGATGATGGTGGTGAAAAAGATGATTCTGATGATGGTACTGATATGAAGATAATGATGCTGATGATAGATGATGATGATGGTGATAATATCAATGATAAATACAATGCTAATGTATTGATTAGATTAGAATTATAATAATCAACAGGGAAAGACAATGTTCATTTGAATCACCTTCCAGTCTCAGTGAGAACAATGATGGCACCGGCCTGGCATTTGAAAGATGCTCCGACTGCTGCCAGCGCAATGGTTTCGGCCGGATCGGTGGGAACAGCAACTTCATGGATGCGCTCCTCGTACGTCTGCTTATGGAACATTGCCGCTTCTGCCTCGCGAGCAACCTGAAAAAAAAAACAACAACATAGTAATAGGATAATAGGAAATCTATTTTAAATACTAATAAAAATATGTTTAAAAACCCCACAGAATATCAGAATATTAAACTTATCAGAAATGTATAAATTATTTAATTACAGGAAAATGACAATATTTTGTTAATCACAAATTTAAGTAAGTGTAGGAAATGTATGTTATATATTGAAATTTTAAGCAACACAATATTACATGAAAATAAATATGAAAATTGTGGGAAAAAAATATAACAAAGAATTATATATTGAAACCCTTCTTGGTGCTTACATATTCTGTCCTTTGTTTAAAGAACTTTAATTTTTCATGTAAATTTGTATATGTAATAAAAATACAAATTACAATTCTCAGAGAAAATGCTTTATTGAAGGCAATGATCCCAGTATGACCGATTGCAAAGTCTAAAAAATGGATTGTGAAGATCGTAATAAAATTATATCAATGATATAGAAAGCCTGGTTTCTATAACTACAGTCTGTACCATTGCATTAGTTGTAGTGCGTTGTCAGTGATAGCATGTAGCGCTTGTATGGACGTCAAGCTTTCGAGCACTTTCAAAATGCTTTGAATAATAATTATTTAAGATTACAAATTCGCAACATCATACCGAGTGCATCATCTTGACTGCTTCCAAAGGATATTTCCCTTTTGCTGTTTCCCCTGACAACATGACGCAGTCACATCCATCCAAAACAGCATTAGCAACATCACTGGTCTCGGCTCTGGTGGGGCGTGGATTTTTAACCATGCTTTCCAACATCTATAACAACAATAACACAGTAATAAGAATAACAACAGATACAGCAGCAGCAGTATCAGCAACAACTGCAACAATACGAACACTAACAGCAGCAGTAAAAACAACAAAACCAAGAACAAAAACAACAGTAAAATCAGCAACAACAACAACAGCAGCAACAGCAAAAAGTAACAGCAACAACAAAGCTGAAGCGACAACAGCAAGCAACAACAGCAACAGCAACATCAGGAGGCTTTGGTCCCCACATCAGGGAAGTAAGTAGAGATTCATCGGGAAAATATTTTTAAAAGTTTATATCAAATGTTGGTCTAAATCGGATAGGCCTAAATAAATTAATCACCAATGAGATACAAAAAACACAATCCTTAGGTCAAGGTTCCTTGTATGAGCTTCTAGCAGCTTATTATTTTTTTTTTTATTTTCTCACTTGCGAGGGGACACCCCCTTCCTAAACCCTCCCCTCCGCCTCAGGCCACTACACGACCATGCGCTGCCTGTCGGAGTCGTTGCCCTGCCATCAGGGAAATCCTAGTGCCGCCACTGGTATTGGATGAGTACTTAGTTTTACACGCAAACTACAGTATATATAGTATTTTATAATTGTACCTGAGTTGCACAAATGACTGGTTTTCCAACTCTGTTACACAGACTGATCATCTTCTTTTGAGCTAAGAACACCAACTCAGGTTTGATTTCAATTCCAAGATCTCCCCTAGCAACCATTATGCCATCAGTCACTTCCAGTATTTCATCAAAACTATAGCGATAAAAAACCCCTCAATTATTGTAACCACATAGTAGTAAAAAAAAAACTGAACCATGCAGGCTGGGGAAGAGGGAATGCAGCAAATTACATCTACTAAGTGTGGGTCAAAATACTAATAAAATGGCCATTAAAATCATTGTAATAGGGATTAACTTCTGTATTCTTAAATTTCGCACTACCAGGCCGTTTCGTACTCCCATCCCCCAGCCGAAACCAGCCTATGCCCCTGTAAACAGTTTCATAAAGCTGAAGCTCACATAATTTGGTGTTGGTAAAACCTGATGATAGATAATTGATAAAATGTGTTTCTGACAACATTTGTACACTTAAACTGGGCACACAGTGTCTGTATTGATTGATGTATTGACAGCCGACCTACATGTGTTAGTGGAGACCGCAACATTATGAGGCATGCTTCACCGATCATTTTTAATGACTGCCATCGATAATCACCAAAAGGTTTCGCATCATTAAACGCTCAAACAGATGGTCCAACCTTACGTTGAGTGATGCAGTCTGTGCCTGGCTTTATAGAAAGAGATCGGACTATCCTGATTTTGCATGCACGCAATGAAACGAAAAATGCAGTACTACCACAACACAGGGGGCGCCCCATTAGAATTTGAAAAGAATGGAGTTTGAAATTCGAACAGGCATTCTGTACACGCTGCACTTTGCCAGAGTCAGGTCACAAATGATAAGATTTCAACTGCCCAATGATCAGTGTTGCTAAATGGATCATTCAACGGTGTAATGTTGGTTTGTGAGAGGCAGTTTATGATATTTATACTAACTTTTGTAATCCTTCTTGGTTTTCAATCTTGCTTATAATAAGTATGTTCTTCCCAGCTTCTCCGAGGCAGTTACGAACGGCAACTACGTCTTCCTTCTTTCGAATAAATGATGCAAACACCATATCGACCTGTCGGAATGCAGGAGATCAAACAATTGCCACTATTATGAGGTTGAAATCTGGTGTATCTGTACTTACAATTTTTAAATATTTGTGAACATTTTTTATATGATTATTAAAGCTATCAAACTATTATCATTATTATTACAATCCTTATTTTCATCATTAATAAAATGTATATGTTAGGCCTAAAGAACAAACGTTACCCATCACTCACAAATTTTATGCCACTTCTAAACTTTAATGTCATAAATGTACAAAAAAGCTGCTATGACTTTTTTCCCCTTGTTGTAAAGGACATACAAAAATACACTAACAAATTAAAACAACATGGAACTTTAATGACTTTTTTCCCCTTGTTGCAAAGGACATACAAAAATACACTAACAAATTAAAACTACATGGAACTTTAATCGAACTTAATAACTGACCAATCAGAAAATGTTATTTAATAGTCGATATGTGAATGTCCCAAAAACATGCAAGTTTACGTACACTTACAATAGGACATATACCCACTCCTCCAAGGGTCGGTTTTGAAAATACAATTATGAAGCAGGTACTTTTACAAATGTGTACTTACTCCATGCTTGACTCCAAAAGTTATATCAGCTTTATCCTTTTCAGACAAAGCTGGAAGATCAACATTAGCTCCAGGTAGGTTCACACCTTTGCGGCTTCCAAGACTTCCCCCATTGATAATGGTACAGTCTATGAATTTCAGATCTACAGACACAGAAGTATTGCAGATGTTAGGAAATGGTAACTAACACCTTAAAATTAAAATTAATGCAATAATACTGGCATTTACTAAAAAAATATTATACAGTAATCAAGAAAATATATATTTTATATAAAAACTTTTCAAAAAAATTTCATGAATATTTGATTAGAGAAATAATAACAGTAAATACTATTCACCATCATCTATATTATCAACTTGAAGCGATAAAAGGCCATCATCAATGTACACCACTGAACCAGTATCCAAGATCTTTGGCATGTTCTTGTAATCAACAAAGATGCATTCCTCCGTTCCACTCTCGGCGTGCGCATCATTGAACGACAGGCGGATCTTGTTTCCAGCTTTCAGCTCAACTTCTGCAGAGCCACCCTTCAAGAATACAACAATGATGTTTACGATTAAATCCTTAGTTCTTTTCTTAAAATGTGTTGTGATTTTCATCAATTTACGTCTGTTTGGGTGCATTATCAAGATCTGCTTATTTGTTTACACAAAATATACAAGAAGATATCTTTACCCTTCATCAAAGCTGAACTGGATTATAATTTCTTACGTAATTGCAAAACGTTCAGCATTTTTCCAACATTATATTTTGTATTGTTTTAGAAAATAAGGGGTAAAATTATGTACAGTATTATATAGTGGGTAGGGACAACATATGAATTGTTCACAGTAATTCTTTATTGTTCTTTCATATAAACAGGAATGTAATTTGAACTGGCATACTGTACAGTTACAACAAAGGCAAAAGCACAACATCCATAAAATAAATGATTTAACAATACTGAAATACTACGGGAGGGAGGGAGAGAGGGAGGGGGAAAGAATGGATTAATTTAAGCTCTTTTGATTTGGGTTTTTAGTTTTAGTTGCTCTTACTCAATTTGATTTCTTGTGACCATCTGTTTTGTTTAATTATGACTATGATGATAATGATGATGATATAACAATAATTATGGTGATGACATTGAATGATGATGATTATGATATTGATAATGATAATGGCAGCCAGGCCGGGCCCCCCAACCCATCCCCGATTTTGGAAGGCAAGAAAAAGAAAGAAAGAAAGAAAAATAAAATACTGATCGCCCAAAACACCTCAGAGGTTATTTTCAGTCGCATAAAAAACAAAAATATCGCAAGGGAATGCCTTCAGACACCCTAGGGTAGTATTAACTCGATCGGTCCCACATTTCGCCCCTCCCCCCCCCCCCCCCTCACTCNNNNGGGAGCAGGAAAGAATGGATTAATTTAAACTCTTTTAATTTGGGATTTTAGTTTTAGTTGCTCTTACTTAATTTGATGTCTTGTAAACCTTTGGATGATATTATGATATAACAATAATTATGGTGATGACATTGAATAATGATGATTATGGCATTGATAATGATAATGGCAGCAGGGACAGATGTTAAGGAAGGGGGAGGGCAGGCTGGCCCGCCTGTTCCCCCATTTTGAAAGGTAAGAAAAAGAAAGAAAGAGAGAAAAATATAAACCTCAGAGGTTATTTTCAGGCGCATAAAACACAAAAATATCGCGGGGGCATGTGGTATCAACAACTATAAATGATACATGAATGTTAAACAGTACAGTACTTACTCCCTTTAAAAGGCCAGTTCTGATCTCTGGTCCTTTGGTATCCAATGCAATTCCCACATTCCTTGAAAAGGCAAATCTAGACCTTGCTTCTTTGATGTTGTTTATAACACTGTCATGATACTAAAAATAAAAATAAAAAAGAATTTGCAAAACAACAATACCTTAAAAACAATAGATATTCTTATAAAACAAAAATTCCTCATTGATCTGCAATTTCAATAAGGAATTGAGGGAGGGGGTAGGGGTCATGAACTGATCACTTGACACACATTATAATTTTTCAGTTAAAACTGTAATACAAACATTGATTTTTGCACAAAGTATAAATTGTGGATATATGGTTATAATATATTAAGTAGGGCTATGGAAAACATGAAGATTCTTATTTGTATACTTAACCTACTGTATTGTGTACATTTGACATCTCTGCACACAGGCAACACACTACTTTCATAATTTCTTTTATGTGTAAGTTTTTATTTTGTTAAGTAAACATTAATTTTTAACCTGATATTTTTTTTATTTTAATTCATGGTACTTCTCCCCCTCACTTAATCATCAAGAACCCCTTCGCCATCGTACCCCTGCCCCATTAGGATCCCCATTTCAGATAGGCCACTACTCCTACAGAAAGTGCAATATTAGAGGTCAATTATAGTTGAACTAATAATGTAATCAAATATTGTAAATTGTAATTATGCATGACAAACTAATAAGAGAGAATATAATTAAAGATTAAAGAATTTGGCAATTTGATCAACTAGCAATGTACTGATATGAAGCATAAGTCAATAATCAATGTTACTTACAGTGTGTATGTCAATAATTTTTATTGTTAGTACTCAAAGATGCCAATAAGTTCCAGAAAAAATAGCTGAGTAGCTGGAGGCTAGTGAATTGTCAAATAATCAAAAAGTAGTTTGAGGCTATTATAATGACATAACATTGTTGAAAGAAATTGTGTTAAACATATTTACGGTATGGTTCTACAAAATAAGTTTTTTAAACCTAACTGCAACATTATATAACATTATTTTAAAGTAAAATTATTAGCTGGGTAGTTTTAAGGCCAAATAAATTTTAATTGTTAGATTCAAGTCCAGGATTTGAAATTATTTTTTGAGGTGAGGGTATTTATTATTTGGTGTTTACTATCCTATATACTAATGGTTAACAGGCTGGTAAATAGTATTTATTTTTTTTTTTGTATAAAAGCAGTAAAATGAATCTTTGTAATGTATTTCTGCCATTTATGTTCCAACCTCTTCTTAGGCTTGCCATCATTCGTTTGAGACAGTCATTATTTTTACTGTCCATGGAAAAATGAATGTTTTTTTCGAAAAAATAGCAAATAGTAAATTTTTTCATGAGGCTCCAAAATCTGATGAGGGTGGGGACATGAAACTAGCAATTAAATTTATTTGGTCTTGGTTCAAAATTAAAGCAAAGGTTGCACTATAGACTCTCAAGCCCGGTTCTCACAAAAGCCCTAGTATCTGGATCGGAAGCTAACCGTTAGCACCTGCGTGAGAACGCCTGATCGGTTAGTGCTAACCGTTAGCAGTATCCGGATACCGCTAACGGTTAGCAAGCGCTATTGGTTAGCAAGTTGAGGGCGTTTCTATGATCAACCAATCACACATACGCGTTTACAATTTCCAGTTTCTTATTAGCCAGTGATTCGATCATCATATTGTTGGTATCCGGATCGGGATTTTCTCGCATGGACGCACAGCAGCTAATGGTTAGTAGAATCCGGATCCTGCTAACTGTTAACTGCCGTGTGAGAACATAGCCTCAGGGAATTTCCCATGAACATAATGATGTCATATCACATCCCTATTTAGGCATGATGATGATGTCACATAATACCAATATACTGTAGAGCCAATTCACATTTAATTGTCCCATAAAATTTTATGGTGTGGACAGAGCCTTATACCTCATGAGTTCCATGTGAAAAGTTAAGTCGAGCGATGTTCATTCCAGCTTTGATCATGTTTTCTAGGATGGCTGGATCTTTAGATGCTGGGCCTAAAAAAAAACAAACAAAAATAATGACTTGTGTTGAGTCGAGTGGCCGAAAACAGCAAGGCAGGGGCACCGCCTACTACAGCGCTGCATTAACATCGGCGCTGTTTAAGCCACTCCCCGCACAGGGTTTGGTTGGTAAAACCTTAAGACTTCTTGGATAGGGACTTAAACCAGTATATCCACTGCACACATCTGGCTTGTGCACACTTTGTATCTTTTGGAAGAGTAGGGGGTTAACCAGATGATATGGTTCAGCCACTGTCGTGGAATGATTGTGAAGTACTGCAAGCACCTTTCTATTGTTGCACAGTAGTCACGGACCACATGCATATGTAATTCAGCACAGTGAAGCTGCGAGTTATGGGTTATTAAATATAATCTGCACACATTCTCAACCTTCGCACCCCCAGGCTGTTTCACAACTCCAGAGACGTCCAAAAGGGAACACATTTGAGAAGATGATGAAGAAGTAGGCCTACTCACCAATTGTGCAGATAATGCCACTGTTACGAACACTGCCAGGTGTGGACTCAATGTCCATTTTGCTGTAATGGTCCAAAAGGGAGTCAGCATTAAGAGCAGCTTGATGTGCATACTGCGTGAAATGGTCACTATCTTGATCATGGTGGTGCTGACCAACAAGCTCTGCAAATCCATGGTCCGACATGATGGCCAAAACTTAGTCCACTCTGAATAAAATAGAATAAAAATTTGATATATAATAATCAAATAAAAGCATGGTGGGCAGGCCCTAACACTAACAGTGCAGTACTTTACCCAGTGTCGGATCCAGGAATTTGAAATAGAGGGGCTCAGAAAGAGACTTTCAGAGATGGAGGATCTATACTAAGAAAAATTATGATTATGGCACATCTAGATGGCCGAAAATGGCACTCTTTAGCGGGGATCAGGCCCACTTTCAAAATTGGGCCCGATTGTCTGAAAATGGCCCTAATGGGCACGATCGTCCGGGCCCAATCGTCTCCTGGAAATGAAATTCGTCAGTCTAGCCTAGAGGCCTAGGCCCTGGTTATTGGCTAGGCCCCAGCATCGACGGTAAAATGTATAGACCGCGTTGCAGTTTCATAGTAGGCATACGCATTTGTTGCACATTTCAGTTGGCTTCTAGTCTGTATCATTTTAGTACACGCGTGTTTGCCTTTGGCTTCGAATTTTAAGGATAATCTTAGATCTGTTATTAGTATGATAAACTTACCGGTCCAACCAAGAACCAACAAGAACGTACTGTATGTATCATAATATAGGGGGCGCGCTGACAGCTATGACAAAATGTTTAGTACGGTGCAGTATTCAAGTTTATGTAATTTTATACAAAAATGTAAATATATTTATAGATAAGCCGATATAATTTTAAAGATCCTCCTGATCATTTTCATCATCACTTCGAGCCTCATCATCATCATTATGATCTGCATCATCTTCATTTCATCATCATCATCACTTATCTAATAGCCCCATCACTTATCTAATGAAATTAATAGAAAAATAAATTAATTGTGCAATTGTAACGTAGTGAACTTTTGAACTGATGGTTTGGGTTTGCTTTTGTATTGTCTTAATGTGATGTGTTTTTGCTTTTTGATTTTTTTTTTTTTCGTTCTTGTTTACCTTTTGTACAAAATACAGTACTTCAATTCAGCTTTTTGCTGCTAATGTATTTTTTATGAAGGATTAAAAAAAAAAAAAAAGATACCGATTATGGGCCTATTATTATCATCATCATCATTATCATCATCATCATCATCATCATCATCGTAATCATTAGGCCCTATGATGATTTTTTTTTTTTTTAAAGCAAATAAATACAACACATGGAGAGAGTAACGCCTTCAAAATGACATAATTGTAAGATGCTACTGGTATCATAAAATACCCTCTCAAAATTGCTTTGCTTCTGGGGGCGTCAACATCAGCGTGGCCGGACGTTTCCAACAACATTTGGCCGACAAAGTGCATTTGACTCAAAGACCACCGACATTTTTTGTTAACATTTTAATGGATGTGTCACAAGTGACATATTTGGATGCTAGATTTTTATTCGGTTATTTAAATTCACTACTAACAAGCAGATTCGCTATTAAATTAAGGTTGTAGTTATCTCTAGGTTTAATGCTCAGTCACTTAAAAATAAATTTGGCTGAAAATATTAGAAACCCTACACTGTCTTTTATTTAGGCATGCTCTTGTCAGTCGCTTTATTTTTGTTTTCTTTCACATAATATATGTTTATTAAATACAACCTTCCAACTCCTGAGTTCAATGCCTAAAGTAACAAGGCCCCCACCACCTGCACACCCACAGAAAAACGTTTCAGACAGTTTTTATAGACGTAATACATAGGGCCTATATAGACCTATATTTTTTTATGCACAGTCCATATTTTAATGACTTATTGAATAGTGATTTTATTACAATATTGTGTCATTTTGTTACATATTTATTATTTATTAATTAATAATTATGTTCTTAATTGTATGATCATGTATTTTTATGTACATTTCCTTATTTATTTTTTTATTTTCTGTATCGAATTGTAGGCCTATATAACAGTAAATTAATCAATATGCTTTTTTTGAAATAGACGACTTAGATCTACAATCGACTCAACTCTTCTGCACATTCCATCTTGTCGCTTGAAGACTAACGGAGCAAGATCATTTCAAATAGCAGCACCTACTCTTTGTAATAGTTTACCTACAGATGTGAGAAATGCGACATCCTTGGATATATTCAAAACTAAATTAAAATCACACCTTTATACTATATGTTATTAGTTTTTTCTTTCTCTTTTTTATAATATTAGTTAGAATAGATACCGTGCATCATTATGGCACCTGTGAATTATGTTCCGGCCAACCATTGTTTGACAATGGTCTTAAATTGCGGGAGAACGGTGCGATAATGTACGGTTCTTCTGCTATAGTCCTTCGTTCGTTAGCATAGAATCTTTAGTTGGATTTTCTTTTCTTTTTTTATTATTTTATATTAGCGCATTGAGACTTCGGTGTAATGCGCTATAGTAAATCCCACTACATTACATTACATTTTTTATTCAATTTGTTATAGCTAACTTAATTAATTCCTCATTTATTGAATTGTATATTTATACCCATTAATTTATTTTTATTTGCCTAATTTGTACCGTACATTCAAATTGTAATGTGCTGCTAATTTCTTAATTTTATATGTGAATGAATAAAAGATAATCAATATTCTTATTTTATTTTATTTTTATTTTATTTATTTCCAGGCAAGACAATACAGTGCAAAAGATAAGAGAAACAAATGACAAAAAAACAAACAAAAAGCCTGAGGATTACCTAAAGGCGAACTTAATCACTATCTAAAGGCTCTCCAAAACATTAAAAAGAAAAAAATTAAAATCTGAAAAATTCACAATTTATATATGTACAATATAAAAAATATATTCTAATTCTAATGTGTCTTCCTACTTGTATATTTTAACTTTACTCTATATTTGTAATATGTAGTATTCTGGTGTAACATTTTTAATATTAGGCCTATTACTTTTGAAAATATTGTACATTTCAATTTTTCCATAAATTTGCAAAAAAAGTCACCTCTTATCTTGTCTTCCTTTTTATATCGATTTGTACCAGTTTCTAAAAAGATGCCCTTTATACTGTGTTAATTATTGCAGTCTCTTATGATTTTCTATAATAATAGAATATTTAATAAAATATAAAAATGAACACGTGCTTCTGATAGGCCTGATTTAATATTTGTTTTACCAAAATCTTAAAATTGGGTCAGCATGTGTAATAGGTAAGGAATAAATAACGATTTTCCATGACTAGCAGTCCACGAAGCACCAACCACAACATCACTAAAAAAATATTGTCGGCGAAACGTCTGTCGGCGAATTGGTTGTCAGCAAATTTGCTGTCGGCGAAACGTCCAGTCGGCGAAACGTCCTGTCGGCGATATTCGGTGTCGGCGAATTCCGGTGTCGGTGAAAGTTCTTTCGGTCAACTGTCTGTCGGATAAACGTCCGTCGGCAAATGGCATTCGGCGAAATGTCCACGCAACATAAGAACCAGTGTAAAATAGGCTGATTGTGATAAGTATTTATCACTAGTTGCATTTATTTATTTTTGCTCTAAATCGAACGAACCTAAATGCCAGGGGTGCGAAATTGAGAATGCTGAATTCTATGTAGAATTCAGCATCCAAATATCCGATGAAAACTCACTCACTCACTTATAGTAGTTTAATTAAATTACTATAGTGGAACTAATTATCCGCGATAAAGGGAGCATCCGCATTCCTCCCTCCCCCCACCGTCTACGCCCAAAAGGTAATATAAATTGAACTTGAACTTGATATACCTAACCGGCCACACTGAATTCAGCCCTCATCTTCCTCCTCCTTATATTTCGATTTTCCACCCTATTTATTTTGTACCGATGTATTTATTCGAATTAACACAGGGAGTTTATTGTTGAGAAAGGGTGCGTTTATTCTAGGGATGCGTTATTTTTATATTTATTTATATCACTAAAAGTGACTACTTAATAGCCACTTTTAGTAGTTTAATTAAACCACTATAGTGGGACTAATTATCCGTGATAAAGGGAGCATCCGCATTCCTCCCTCCTCCCACCGTCTACGCCCAAAAGGTAATATAAATTGAACTTGAACTTGATATACCTAACCGCCCACACATGAATTCATCCCTCATCTTCCTCCTCCTTATATTTCGATTTTCCACCCTATTTATTTAGCACCGATGTATTTATTCGAATTAACACAGGGAGTGTATTGTTGCGAAAGGGTGCGGATGCGTTATTTTTATATATATTTATATCACTAAAAGTGACTACATAATAGTCACTTTTAGTAGTTTAATTAAACCAATATAGTGGGACTATTTATCCGCGATAAAGGGAGCGTCCGCATTCCTCCCACCGTCTACGCCCATTATGGGCATTATGATAGGTAATATAAATTGAACTTGAACTTGATATACCTAACCGCCCACCCTGAATTCAACCCTCATCTTCCTCCTCCTTATATTTCGATTTTCCACCCTATTTATTTAGTACCGATGTATTTATTCGAATTAACACAGGGCGTTTATTGTTGAGAAAGGGGGCGTTTATTCTAGGGATGCGTTATTTTTATATTTATTTATTATTTTATTTTATTTTATTTATTTACTTTTTTTTAAATGTAAAATGGATAGGTATAAGACGTATACAGGCCAACTCAAATAGGTTACGCCCCTTAATTTCACAACAAATTGTACGTGTGTCACTGCAAGATCATAAACATTTATTGATCCCAACCAGGTTTTTAAAAAAAACATAATTCTACTGGAGAGCACAGAATGTGTTGAGAACGGTGTTGCTTCTATTAGATTTTTTACAGTCATTTAGGGATGGAGGTAGATATTTGAAGAAAATTAAACGCCTCAGGGCGTATATTTAAGGGAGGAGTTTTATTCTAAATGAGGTTCGATCTTCGGGTGTTTATTCGAGGGGGAGTTCATTGAAAGTGTGGCGTTTATTCGAATAAATACAGTATAAAATACGCTTCTTATTAAAACATTGATACAAACGAGTTGTCAGTTATTTCATTCGAAACCAGTGTCAGTATAATCTTAGGTAAGCATGTGGTTAACATAAGCAAGAATTTAGTCCAATGAAACTGTTTATCATCATGATACCTCCCGACGAAAATGGACCCTACCGGCGTCACCACGGCGTCGATCTAACGTGACGTTGTTATGTGGGTGTTTTATAGATTATTGAGAATGTTTGTGTTAATATATTACAGTAATATCACCGAAAAAATAGATAAAATGACAGTTGAATGACCAACAAAGACAACTGAAGACAATATTTCGTCATTAGAAGTTATTTAGCCAAACTTTATTCGAAAAATTAATCTCAAAATCGAGTTGCCGTCCCCGGCGTTGTCAGTGACGTCGTATGATTTGTGTGCAATTTTTACCATTTAACCCCTAAGTAGAAAATAGTTGAGCCATGTAGTACCTTGCAAATCAACCCAGAAATCCGGTAGTTTGTTAATTGTTTATTGGTAGGGTCCCTTCGCTGCCAAAAATAGTTTTTTGGCAGTTGCGTCCCCGGTGACATCGTGAGGGCATGGTGAATGCCGGTTACAATTTGGTGGCACATCGATTGAGTATTTTCATTCATCTGGCCATGTAAGTCAGTG